TAACATGGAAACCAGCAGTCATTATTTAACTTGTTGTCTAGGTTGCAGCCCATCTGTTCTCAACAACAGAAGCTGAGTAAATATGCACTGATGATTTCCATTGTCCATCCTGTAGGAGCATTCACCTTACCCCATTTACCCCATTACACAGTATTTCCCTGATGGTGCAGAGCCACAGTGCCATAGCTAAATCTGTGCTGTCGATTTCATAATGGTGGATGGTGCTCTTTACTTTGAGAGTGTGTAATTCCCCTTAGGGGGATCACAAGTTTATTAATGTGTCACAAGTTGCTTGCTTCCGGTTAGCTCTTCTCAGTAAATAGGACTACAGTGTTCATTGGATGCTGCTTTGTTTTTAGCTTTTTAAATCACTTCCTGATGAACAGAAACAGTAAACAAGTATTAAAACATTGAAAGTAATTTGGAAATAGTGCTATCCTGGGGAGTCTGGAATTTCAGACATTACCAGATAGTTGTAGATCAGCAGTCACCTCACAGAGTTGTGAAATAAAAGTCAGGAAAATAAGAATACCGAAGTGTGCTCATATGGATCCACTTTCTGGAAATTAGGGATCAGTTGCATTTGTACAAAAGGAGAAGCGGACAGCTGAGGTGGGGAGTCTGTATTTTTCATCAAGTTACTCAGTCTTCTCCAGCCCACTCAGATATCCCAGATGAAAAACAGAAGAATTTATCTGGATGCTTATGCCTGACTCTAATTAAACACCAAAGAACTGAAGTCATCATCATGGTCATGTTGTCTAGCTCACCTGCCTTCTGAGCAAACCCTGGGGGGCTGGACAGGAAAATGGAAATCTAAAAAAAAAAGGGGGGGGAGGGAATATAGTACTGATTTTAATATCTAACACTTCCTGAGTGCTCCTGGATGACTGGCCCTGCCCTAAGCTCTTTCCGGGTTTTAACATGCTTCACTCCCACACCAACCTCTGAGTTCTTTGTTATGATTTTCTCCTTATACACATGAGGAGAAAGAAGCCCAAGGAGTCAAGTAAGTTTCCCTGATTTTCTTTTTTTTTTTTTTAAAGATTTTATTTATGTATTTGACAGACAGAGATCACAAGCAGGCAGAGAGGCAGGCAGAGAGGAGGAAGCAGGCTCCCTGCTGAGCAGAGAGTCCGACGCAGGACTCGATCCCAGGACTCTGAGATCATGACCTGAGCCGAAGGCAGAGGCTTAACCCACTGAGCCACCCAGGCACCCCCCTTTTTTAAAATATTTTATTTATGTATTTGAGTTTCCCTGATTTTCAAAAGCAGTGAGTGATCCAGCTGGAATCTGAACCTCTTACAGCTGGGTTTTGGAGATCTTGCTCTTAACCCTATCTGTATCAAAAATGTCTGGCATTTGATTAAAGAAGGTATAGGAAAAAAACAAAACAAACAACACCAATAAATTGAGGAGAAGAAAAACCTAAGACTCATGAGTTTAATAGATTAGTGTGGAGTGTTCATTTAGAATTCACTGACTGACTTCTTAGAAAAGTCTGTTCTTTAAGAATTCTAATGTGTACCAATATCAGGATTGTTCTAAAACGTGCATATTTTCTTACTACACATTGGAATGTGTCCTATGATAGTTAATTGCTTTAACTTAGGTAATTATTTTTCCTGAAAATATTATCTTAAAATGAGCCCATGAAGAGCATGCTCTAGTCTGTACTGGTGTAAAATTAATAAATAATGCATGAGCAATATTTCTGGCAAAACCAAAGTGGCTATTATTTCTGCTAGGTGTTTAAGCTCAAGTTAAAATTTAGCACTTTCTTTTCTCTCAAAGCTGTTTCTTTTTTCTGTATTTTCCATGCTGAGAGATTGGCTCTATGTTTCATATACTCATCTGTGAGAAGTTCTTCATCATCTTGGATACCTCTCTTTCCTTTGCTACTATCTTAAATATAATTTGAACATGATTCCTCCTCTCTGTATCAATGGTCATTGCCTTTGGAGCTGCCATTTTTCTCCTGAATGAATGATGTTGATTTCTTATTGTCTCACTGTGCTTAGTCCTCTGTTCTCTCCAATCATTTTTCTCACTTTGAGCAGAAACATCTTTCCAAAATCCAAATGTTTTCACTTACTAGTATAAAGTCCACATTCTGCTGTGGCTTGCATGCTGCTCCTTCAAGCTTCTGCACAGACCTCCAGCCTCAGTTCCTGCTATTCCTTTATAACTAATTCTGCCACACCAAATTATTTGCAATTCCTCCAACCACATCAAGTTGTTGAATGTCTTCAAGCATTTGTGTATACTGTTCCTGAAAGAGCCTTTGTTAAAATTGCCATATTCTTACTAGTTCCTTAAGATAACCAGGAATCACAAATTTTGAGGTCTTGTTTCTTTCTTTGATGCTGCTGTGGTAGCACACAGTAGCTCTTTGTAGTGCTTATCACATTGAAATTCAGCTATTGTGTATCACTTCTGGATTGTGAGGAGCTGAGTGCAGGGAATATATTTTATCATTCAAACAAAATCTCTGAACACATTCTTCCAGGACCTTTTTACTGATTGACTTTGTTTAAAGGTGAAGGGTTTCACCTCTGAAATATTTTAATTTTTTTATTTTATTATATTTTATTTTTAAAGGGGAAGAGAGAGAGAGAGAGAGAGGATGGGAAGGGGCAGAGGACAAGAAAGAGAGACTCTTAAGCAAGTTCCACACCCAGTGTGGAGCCCAATGTTGGGCTCAATTTCACAACCCTGAGATCATGACCAGAGCTGAAATCAAGAGTCAAATGCTTAACCAACTATGACACCTGAACACCCCCAACCTATAAAGTATTTTAGATCTGCTTGTAGGCTATCATATGAAGGTAGAGACATCTACATTTAATAAGTCTACATAATAATTTTGTGGCAATTTTCTTTGCTATCCAATATAAAGCTGAATAAGTAACTATAAAGGAAAACTCTACTTTTCTCCCCTATTCTCAGTACTTCTGACACCAGGTATGTGTTTTTTTTTTCCCCACACCTAGCAATTTTGCAACACCAGCCAGATACGCTACAGTTCACATCTACTCTGATACTATTTACTTGGAGATAATATCACACCCCACAGGTTAAGGACTCAATCCCACAAGACTGCCCCCTGCCTCATATTCAGACACCAATTGCAAGTCCAGATTGTCACCTGTGCTTGTGACAGACTATAAATCAGAGGTTCTCACAATCCACTCCTTGGATTCAATCATTTGCTAGAACAGGTCACACAACTCAGGAAAACAGTTTACTTACTACTTTTGGATATTTCAAAGGACAGAAATAACTGGGTCAGATGAAAGAGATGTGTGTGGCAAAGGGTAGAGGAAGAGGCACAGAACTTCTGTGCCATCTCCAGGCGTGCCATCCTCCGAGCACCTCCATGTGTTCATTAACCCAAACTCATCAAATCTTTTTGGTTCCATGGTTTTTACAGAACTTAACCTGAAATTACTGCTCCCTTGTCTGAAGGTCAGTGGATACAGTTAAAACTTTCAACCTTCTGCACACTTAATCTTTCTGGTAACAAGCCCCATCCCAAGGCTTTCTAGGGAGGTCATCCCAAGGGTTAACATAAACTCAAGGGTGATTAAATGGAGCTCCCTTTGAATAGCAAAAGACACTCCTATCACTCAGTGATTTCTAAGATTTTTCAGGAAATCTGTGCCAGGATCCAAGACCAACTACATTTTTTATTATACCATAACCAACCTAACTATTTTCTGGTGATTCTCATCATGTCGTATAGTCATTTAAAAAAAAAAAAAAGCAAGGATTTAATTCAAGGAGCTGCTTAAAAGTCAAACATCTTGGCTGAATAAGGAGGAGGGCTTGGGGGCTGTGATCTCGATACACCAGTATGGAGTGAGAAGAGCCACCATTACTGAGCACTGGTGACAGGCCAAACAGATTTTGATTCACTATCACATTTAATACTCAGACACATGTTGTCCCACTGCCCATCTAAGGTCCCAAGGGATTAAATGAGTTGCCCGAAGTTACAGAAATAGTAAGCAGTAAAATTCAATTCCAAGGGCGCCTGGGTGGCTTAGTGGGTTAAAGCCTCTGCCTTTGGCTCAGGTCGTGATCCCAGGGTCCTGGGATCGAGCCCTACATCGGGCTCTCTGCTCCACGGGGAGCCTGCTTCCCCCTCTCTCTCTGCCTGCCTCTCTGCCTACTTGTGATCTCTCTCTCTCTCTGTCAAATAAATAAATAAATAAAATCTTAAAAAAATTCAATTCCAGGACTTTGATAGCCAAGTATACGAATGAGGCATTGGGCACTTACCAAGTAAGACATTCTGAACAAAACCTTGAATTTGATGATTTGTGCTTCTCTTTATTCTCATTGCCTGCATCACCATGCCTGACCCATAGCAGTATTCACTGAATGTCCAGAGACATAAATAGCAAACAGAAATAGTACAGTTTATAAGAAAACTTGCAGTATTTTTTTATCCAGGACTGTTTTCTTCCCATATTCATCGATAAGCTCTCCAATTATCAAGACAGCCATTACTGTAAGAATTGAGCAGCCTCATTCTTCTCCTTGCATTATGCTTAATTGATCCATTACATTTTCCTACTTCTCTGTTGAGTTTGCCAAGTTTAGCATAAACCCAAGGTTGACTTACTTCCTGACCTAAATCCTTTATTTTTTCTGCTTTTCTAGATACAGAAATCCCTATTGAACATTTTTTCAAACCACACTTGTATATAGTATGAAACTATTTTCTAAGAATTGAATAATACACAAATGGCTTTGCAGAACTAAGCATTGTTTAGCTTTGTGACAAAAGAGAGCCCTGTGGACTAAGCCATGACACCTTAACATTAATTAATCAATGGGTTTTTTTTTCTTTTCTCTCTCCCTCTCCTCCTTTCTCTCTCTGTCTCTCTCTGTGTCTCTGTGTCTGTCTGTTTTAGTGAAGTACATGTACTGCTTGGTGGCACTTACTTTTTGTTCACACCAGACCACCTCTTTATTCTGCTTCATTACAGAAACTCCACTTACTGCATGAAAGTATCCATCTCGCTGACAGTGGGTGAAAATGACACCGGACTCTGCTACAATTCCAAAATGAAATACTTTGACAAAGCTGAACTTAGCAAAAGCAAGGAAATTTCATGCCGTGACATCGAAGATTTTTTACTACCAACCAGAGAACCTGAAATCCTATGGTATAAGGTATGTATTGTGCATGATTTTCTTCCTTATAAATAGATTAATGTGTATCTTATTGTTGGACTAGTTGGATAAAAAGTTTTATGGGTATGATGAAGTTAAACTCTATCTTCCTGAAATACTATAGCAGGTTGTGCTGGTCATTATAAGATTTCAAAGCAATATCTTTGATAAATGCTAGTTGGTATTTGTACTGGTGATATTTGTACTGGTGATACAAATACTGGTGTACTGGTGTACTGCAATAGGCTGTTGTGTTTATGTTCATAGCTAGTTTATACTGTTCTTTCAAGTCCATTATAATCTGTGGTTGATAATTCAGAAACTAGAATACATTAAGCATTCCTTTCAGAGCTCTTCATATAAACACTCCTAATGTTTTCAAACAAAGAAAGGATTGATTTACTTCTATGAAAAAATAGTACAATGGCTTTATTAAAATGTTCTGTTTAATGGAAGTATCTTTGTGTATATTCCAATCCTTTTCATATAAAAGCATATATATTTTTAAAAACCTGAGGGAAATTCATAACATTATAAAAATAGTGCTAGATAACTTTTTCTCAAAAAACAAAAGAATCTTCAGACTTAAGGAGAATAATCCAACCCTTGTCCTTCCTATCATATAATTGACTTTTTCTGAATTTTAAGATGAGAACATACCCTTCAGCTTATTTATACCATCAAAGAAATTTTTGTCATTGAGTGTAATCAAGAAATATAATATAGCTGCTATGAATATTTTTCTGGAATATTATATCCATGATTTAAAGAGTACTAGTAGAAAATTTGCTTTGTTCAACTCCCTGGAAATAGGGATGTAGGAAGCATGACCTCTTAGTAACTAGATCTACCGATACCACTATGTCATGAGTTCAAAACTTATGAGAAATTTAAAAAGAAACAAATCTTTAACAATTTTTAAAAAGATTTTATTTATTTATTTGACAGAAAGAGATCACAAGTAGGCGGAGAGACAGGCAGAGAGAGAGAGAGAGAGGAGGAAGCAGGCTCCCTGCTGAGCAGAGAGCCCGATTAGGGGCTCGATCCTAGGACCCTGGGATCATGGCCTGAGCCGAAGGCAGAGGCTTTAACCACTGAGCCACCCAGGCGCCCCTTCAGTAATATTCTAACAAAGGGTGACCAGTATGTAAGTGAAAAATAACCAGATAACTCTCTTCCATGTATATGAAGACATTGAACCACATAATCAAAATAATAGTCTGGAAAAATTTGATTTGGCAAAATATTTTTTTAGAAATAATACCTCTGAACAGTGTCAGAGGGCTTAAAGCTATTTTATCCTCATGGCATTGATTTCAAATCTGGCTAAAGGAAATAGACTTCTGTTCTGGCAAAAAGAGAAAGCTTCTGAGCCAACGTCATTAAAATCTAAAGCTTAATTTAGAGACCATAATTTGTTAGACCCATCAACAATGAAAATAGATGTTTATGGTACTGTAAAGACCATAAAGACATCTTGGCCATTTCTTTCACAAATTGTAGAATGTGCATGCTATAAAGGGAGAGAATTTTTTTCTAAATGTAATATTAAAAGATTTAAATACTGAAATAGAAGCATTTTCTGCTACAGAATTAATTTTTCTACTTTATACCTAAATAATATATCTTATATTTTATGCTTTCAGTATCAAGTGTCAAGATGGTTAATTTCACAGTCAACAAATTTGGAGTATTTGCTTCTAAAAATGATGTTAGGAGTAATCTTAACAAGAGTCCTTTTTCTTATATCTTCTTTTTCAAAAATTGTATTTAATTTTATTTTTTCAGTGTTCCAAAATTCATTGTTTATGCACCACACCCAATGCTCCATGCAATACATGCCCTCCATAATACTTACTACCAGGCTCACCAAACCCCCAACGCCTCTCCCCTCCAAAACCCTCAGTTGGTTTCTCAGAGTCCACAGTCTCTCATGGTTTGTCTCCCCCTCCAATTTCCCACCACTCACTTCTCCTCGCTATCTCCCAATGTCTTCTGTGTTATTCCTTATGCTCCACAAATAAGTGAAACCATATGATAATTGACTCTCTCTGCTTGACTTATTTTATTTGGCATAATCTTTTCCAGTCCCATCCATGTTGATACAAAAGTTGGGTATTCATCCTTTCTGATAGAGGCATAATACTCCATTGCATATATGGACCATATCTTCTTTATCCATTCATCCATTGAAGGACATCTTGGTTCTTTCCACAGTTTGGCGACTGTGGCCATTGTTGCTATGAACGTTGGGGTACAGATGGCCCTTCTTTTCACTAAGGAATCTCCTTAAGGAGATTCCTTAAGAAATTGGCTTCATTAAGATTCCTTAAGTTGGCTGCACCAACTTGCATTCCCACCAACAGTGTAAGAAATCAATGTATATCTGATTTAGACAAACTAATCTTAGAAGTCAATAAATTGACACTTGCTAGGGACACCTGAGTGGGTCAGTTGGTTAAGCATTTGGCTCAGGTCATGATCTAATGGTCCTGAGATTAAGCCCAGTGTGGAGCCTCATGTAAAGCCTCCTTAGGATTCTCTCTCCCCTCTCCCCCTCTTCCTTGGCCCCTCCCCAACACAAGCACCTGCGCTATCTTAAAAAAAATGACTCTTACTAGAAAACCTCTTTTCAAACTGAGGTACCTGATCTCCATGAGATGTGGAGAAGTATGAAAATTTTTAGAATTAATCTCAAACTCTTTAGCCCTTTAAAATATAAATTTAGAAGCTTTGGGGTTATTTATTTAAAATACTCTTCTCTGTTTCTCAATTATTGTACTTACTACAGAAATTCTGTGTTTTTCATGCAGGAATGTAGGACAAAAACATGGAGGCCAAGTATTGTATTCAAAAGAGATACATTGCTTATAAGAGAAGTCAGAGAAGATGACATCGGAAATTACACCTGTGAATTAAAATATGGAGGCTTTGTTGTGAGACGAACTACTGAATTAACTGTTACAGGTAATCATAGTCTTCAGTATTTCATTTGCAAGTAACGAAACTATCATTTTAAGTTTACTTTTTGTGCTATACATTGATTTTTTCAAATCTATGCAATGAAAAAAGTACTTAACCAAATAGCTGAGTGGATTCCTATAAGGTTAAATTTATTCCTCCTTGCTTTTAAATCATCTTGTGCTGAAATACATTTGAAAGGTTAAAGAAAATATGCTTAGGGAATTATAGAAATGTTAGCTTTTAAAGTATTTGAAATAATGAGTTCACATTTTTAGAAAATTATGCTTGTATTTTGTAATGTTGTCAATTTGGGGAACATTTTCTAAGGTGTTGAAATAGAATGTATGACATCTACCTCTGTCTTCCTGTTTTGCTCCAAATAAGAAAAATTACTATTTTATTGATTTTCCTTTTTATAAATCTGACATATGAGTTCTCATGAACTTGAAAATAACATAATTGCAGGGGAAATAATTGAATAATTGCATGAGATGCAGTGAATGATGTCATTCCTGTCTCTGGTTGCTAAGGTAGAAGGGCATAAGAAGATTCAGAACTCTGTCTATAATCATGAATTTACAGCTCACTAGTCACGTGGCCTTACTGGACTTAGCACAACCTTCACCATATCAGTTTCTTCATGTATAAAATGGCAATGGTAAAATTTGTCTTGTATAGTTCATAGGAGTTTTGCAAGGATCTAATGAGGTAACATAAGCTGAATGAAATCAGTTTGTATAATACCCAATTATATCCAAATGTACATTATGGTCATTTTATGTCTTGTAACATATTGTTTTCGTACCCTTTTTTTGCTTTATGGCTTGAATCTCTAAAAGTGGTTCCAAGAGGAAAAAAGGTGGGGATAAATAAGAGCAATATTAGGGAGTTAGAGACATTTTTCTCATCTTACTGAGATTCTTCTAAGTGACTTTTTGCACAATAATATTTATGAAATATATACAAATAAGTTGACAAAGGATACCATATACTTCAAAGAGATTTTCATTTGTTCATTGGTTCACTTTATATAATTTTCCTGTATATGAAAAGTGTTTCATGGTAGTCACCCTCATCTTATAATAATTGTCTTTCTTTCAAACTTTGAAATTATGATATATTTAGATTTAAAAACTACAATTTCAAGAAATCCATTTGATGAATCGTAATTATTCTGATCTAAAGAAAATTTGGTTAAAATTTGGTACTCTTTGGTAATGACTTTGATAAATATTAGGCCCAGTAAATAATTGCCACTTGCAATATATGATATATTTAAATAGTAAACATGCATTCAGCCTTACATTGTGTACATATAGTATGCATTTGTGTGATTTATAGTATGATTGTGTGATTTGTGTTTGGTTTTCAGTTTTGCTGTGTTTAATAGGTTTCTGTATAAAAAATTACATTTAAAACTTTATCATTCTACCTCCCTGTCTTTTTCATGGAACAGTGAAAAATATAGCTGTTTATACTTGAGTTCTCTTTACAATAAATATTTAGGTTTTTATTATTAATTTTTTGCTTTCAATCTATACTGAAGTACATTTTTCCAAGAGTAGGTATAGAGATGAAGGAATTTAAAAATACACTAAAGGGGCGCCTGGGTGGCTCAGTGGGTTAAAGCCTCTGCCTTCGGCTCAGGTCATGATCCCAGGGACCTGGGATCGAGCCCCGCATCGGGCTCTCTGCTCGGCAGGGAGCCTGCTTCCTCCTCTCTCTCTGCCTGCCTCTCTGCCTACTTGTGATCTCTGTCTGTCAAATAAATAAATAAAATCTTTTAAAAAAATAAAAAAAATAATAATACACTAAAAAATCTATTGCATAAGGAATATAGAATATATTTCTAGTCTTTATTCTTTGGGATATAAAGCTAATCCTTGATAAGCACACCTCTTCCTTTTCTAGAAACATTAGGATACTAAACTGCTATCTAGGAGCACCTGGGTGGCTCAGCCATTAAGCTTCTGCCTTCATCTCGGGTCATGATCTCAGGGTTCTGGGATTGAGTCCAGAGTTCTGTACCAGGCTCCCTGCTCAGCGGGAAGCCTGCTTCTCCCTCTCCCACTCTTGTGTGTCTCTCTTGCTGTCTCTTTCACTCTGTCAAATAAATAAATAAAATCTTTAAAAATATAAACCACAATCTATTAAGAGGTGATGAAAAAAATCTTACAGAGACTAGAAACTGGGTCCCCAATAATGAAATAACTTAAATAAGGCTATTTTGTATAATCAATAATAGAATTGTTTTCTTCTAAATGCTACCCAGGGCTACTATATTTTCCTAACTTAATTTCTTCAAAATATCTCTTTTTCTTTACTTGAAAAGAGGGGAAAACTATTCTGTATTATCTAAGAGGAAGTAGGTGAAAGTTTTAATGAAAATTTTCATTCAAATGATTATCCTGAATACCTCTAATTCAAGCAGCCTTACTGGTGACATTAATTTGGACATCTAAGTTATGAAGCCAAGTTTCATACATATATGAAATTTTGGGTGAATGGGAGAACTCCATGACCAATAATTAAAAATGATATGTATTAGAATACATTTTAAGTATTAACAAGCCTATTAGAAAGATCTCTTTTTTCATAACCTTGATCTAGTGTGACTATAAATGTGGCCCATAGCCAATTTAAACAACAACTCTTAGAATCCAAATTGTATCTTACTAAAGCTGCAAAGGTGGGAATTTCTCTGGATGATAATTAACCAGTGTTTTTTATCTTAATTTTCTGCATACCATGATCATATTGTATTTAATGTAAATATTATGCAAGGTATGGTATCATTTCATTTTAGTGGATGTGCATTAGCTGATGATAAATGTTTTAAGATGTGTTAGAATGTGTTTCTTTAAAATAAATAATTCCATATATGAAGAGAAAAGGAAATTTTTAGATAAATTGGCTAAATGTGCAGGCAGTATTGTGAGCTTTTATGGGAGATCCTTCACTTACTAAAAGTTTGTGTGTCTACTTAAGTGAAGTAGTGGTTTAGGAAAACACTACTTAGGGTGACTGGGTTGCTCAGTTGGTTAAGTGTCAGACTTTGGCTCCTAGAGTCTTGGAATCCCTGCTGAGTGGGGAGTCTGCTTGTCCCTCTCCCTCTGCCTCTCCCCCTGCTCTTTTTCTCTATCTGCTCGCTCTCTCTCTCTCTCTCTCTCTGTCTCACTCCCTCTCTTTGTCAAATAAATATTTTTTAAATTAAATAAAAGGAAAGAGATCACAGTGAAAAAATAATAAACCTGCTCATCACTGTTGGTATACTTTCAACATTACTTTTTTTTTAAATTTAAGATGTTTCAGCATCATCTGTAGCCTCCACCCTCTTCTCTAAACACTGAAGTTTTTACCGTTTTCCAAATATCCTCCCTCTGGGCCCTTACTCCTGGGGTGCTCCTTCTGGAATGCTTTTCCTTATGCATTGTCACAAGGCTGATTCTTACTCTTCCTTCAAGGAATAGCTAAAATGTTCCCTTTGTTTGGAGGCATGTGGTGCTTGGTGCCTTGGTAGCACGGAGAATTTTATAATACCCTTTGTGGCATCTACCACATTGCATTGTCACTGTTGATGCTCCTGTCCTTCCACGAGAATATGAGTTACTTTCAGTGAGAAGAATGTCTTCTTTTTAATAATCATTTTATTTTAGACCAGTTTTACATTTACAGAAAACTTCCAAAGACAGTAGAGAGAGATCCCATATACCCCACATCCAGTTTCCCCTGTTATTAATGCCTAACATTAGTATGGCACATTTATTACCATTAATGAATCAATATCAACAAATTATCAACTACAGTCCATATTTTATTCAGATTTCCTTAGTTTTATGCCTAATAGTCCTTTTTTGTTCTAGGACACCCATCCAGGATAGTCCATTACATTTAATTATCATGTCTCTTTAGGCTTCTTTTGGCTGTGACTATTTCTGACTTCTCCCATTTTTGATGATTTTGACAATTTCAAGGAGTACTGGACATATATTTTGTAGAATGTCCTTCAAGTGTGATTTGTTCAATATGTTTCTCATTATTAGATTTAGGTTATATGTTCTTAGAAGATCACAGAGGTCAAATCACAACTTAGCATTCCCTTGGTGTGATTTATTGCCACTGATGCTGACCTTTAATCACCTGCAGCAATGTTTTTTTTTTTAATCACTTTAATCACCTCAGTAGTGAGCTTTTGCTGCTGCAACGTTAGTCGCTGCCCCTCCTTTCCACACTTCAGTCTTTGGAAGGAAGTCATGATCTGCAGTTCACATTTAAGGAATGAGGAGTTAGACCCTCACCTCTCTGAAGGCTGATTATCTACATAAATTATTTGGAATTTTTCTCTACCTCCACATTTATCTAATTAGTCACTTATTTATCTATATTAGTATGGACTCCTGGGTATTTATTTTATACTTTGGTTTATAATCCAACATCGCATTATTTATATTTGTGGCTCAAATTGTTGCAGCTTTGACCCTTAGGGACTCTTTTAGTGGACTTCATGTCCCTCTGACATACACGTACTGTGTGTGTGTGAGAGAGAGAGAGAGAGAGAAAGAGCACTTCCTTATTCTTGGGCCCTACAAGGTGTTCCAGGACTATATTGTGTACTTCCTGCTTATGTCCTAGAATTAGTTATTTCTTCCAAAGAACCCTTGCTGCTTTTATTGGAGAATAGTGCTAGAAACTAAGATCTGGGCATCAGAGGTACTCATTGCTACTGGAGTATAGTTGCTTCTAAGACCTCTCAATTGACAGAGTAAAGAGTTATGTGTGTACTAATCCAGGTATTTACACATCTATAAATGCTACTATATGTAACATCTGTATCTATATTAAACTAAACATGAATTCATACTTGAGATATCTCTGACTCTACTCCATTACCATAGGGATCTTTCCAGCCTCTTCCCCTTTCTTCTCTATAGCCTCCCTAATAGCGAGAAACCTGTTTCCCACCATCTTTCGTTCATTAACTTAACTGTTCACTGCCAGTATAG